TCAAGTAGTATTTTTGTTGGGAATATGCTTCAGGCAAAGGGTATGACCGATCAGACGATATAACTTATTAATTTTTATTTTTTTTCAAGCTTGTATCTTAAATCTAACTTTGAATAATTTTATCTTCGAGAATAATTCCTTTCTTTTCATATTTTTCTAAACATACTTTCATTTTTGATGATGTTACCTTAGTCATTACAAATAATAAAATTCAAATAGAAATTACTCGACTAAACCAAGAAAAACCTTTGTTACATCTTTTTTTGGGTAACTGCCTGTTTCATCAAAGGTCATTTCTGCTGTTACGGGCTAGACAAAGGGTAGAAGGGGTATGCATACATTCATTTCAGGAAGTATTTAAGATCAGGCACATTCTCTTGTATTAGCCGTCAGCTTTTTCAAAGGTTATCTTCAGATTTGAAATAAAATGTCTCATATTATTTCAACTTTTAGGTATTTAGTACTCAAATGCACCTCTTATATCATCCCTTTAGTGAAAAATGGTTAGAACATACATATTTGATGGAAACAAGAAGAATTAGCGATCACTGGACGATTTGGTAGCATTAGATTTGTAAATTTCAAACCCTATGTATGTTCTCTATAAAATATTTTCAATTAATAATTTCCAGTAACTTTTATCCAAGTGCATAAAAACGGTGGAGCGCCAAAATATCCCAGCGTTATGTTGTGGGGACATAAGGTATTTTGGAAGCAGGAAAGATGAAAATATGCAACGCCTTTGCTGAGAATCGAAACACGGACCTCTGGAATACGCACCCAGCGTGCAAACAACCACACCACGAAGGCACGCCAAGAAGGTGAGAGAAATACCTTATAATGTAATAACAGATTCTAGATGTATTTAAATAGAGAAATCGTTGTGTCTTTCTGTTAGAGCAAGCACATTCAAGAAGAGCAGTGTTATGACGTTATATATTAATGGGAGATAAAGAAAAGAAAGAAAGCAGCCTTACGGGAAACGTTTTCGTACAGGGTCAAGAGATCAGAAATGAAAAAGAAAAAAAAAAAAATGGTTATTTTTAAATTTCTTTCCTACAAATATCAGTTAAATTACCTAAAATCTAAATTTTTATGGTTTATCTATCTTGATCAGCATTATGGTCTGCTAGAAACGTTTATTTATTATAATTACTTCCAAGAAAAGAACTGCAGCTTCACGAAATATTAACTATTATTACATGTTAAATCGCTTGCGTTGATTCTTGAATAAGCAGGCATAACAAAAGCTAGAAAAAAAGATTTGATTTTTCTTTGTCAAAATTTCGAAGAATGAAAAGCTAACACAAATAATAAACCACTGAAAGTGGTGTCGAAAACTCCCAACGCCAACTATTGTACTTAGATTTTACAAGTTTATGACAACAATGGAGATTTTACAAGTACTCCATGTTTCTTTGCAGTGTAGTGATTAACATATCCAGCTAACAATTATAAAATCGGTGACTCGATTCTTGGCGAAAGAAAATGTATTGTTAACATTTACGGAGCAAGGGTAGATAAAAAGCACTTAACAGTTCCGTACCAGATTTCTAGTAGACCATCCTTTAGTGATCGAGCGTGGTGGAGGGAAAAGAAATGGTGAGAATTTCCTGTTAAAAACTTTCAGACCACTCGTATTTTCAGAAGATGTCGCCCGTACGTGAAGCATTCTGTGACATTACCGTATTTAGCAAAATGTTTGGTAATAAAATTGTAGAGATTAGGTATTTTTTTTTAAAACAAGAGAAATGAAAAATGAGCAATGTCCTCGTCGGAACCGAACCACGGACCTCTGGAATACCCGCCCAGCGAGCTGACCACTACACTACGAAGGCATGCTAAGAAGGCACCTCTGGAATACGCGCCCAGCTTGCTGACCAGTACACTACGAAGGCATGCTAAGAAGGCGGGAGAAATACCTTATATACTTCCCCTTTTAAAGTGTGACTGGGGTTTAGGCGACCCAATCGAGAAATCTTGGGTGTGGAGAATCATCATCCATCACCATTTTAGTTCAGGCGCCACTGCAGAGTCATTAGTTATTTTTTGAAAAAAGGAGAGATGTAAAATGATGAATGCCCTCGCCAGGAATCGAACCACGGACCTCTGGAATACGCGCCTAGCGTGCTGACCACTACAGGCATGGTAAGAAGGCGGCAGAAATACCTTATAACATTTATCGATAACATTTATCGAAAAAGCGTAGCAGATTTGCAAAGGGAATATTTCAAATTCTAATAACTACGCACGAATTCTACTAACTATGCACAAATACTCATTTGTTATCTTTGCAGAATTTAACACGCTGACACATAAATAAACTAATTAAACACATAAAATGCAATAACGACACACAAATTAAAAATGGAGCAAAATGCAATATACTAGTTCGTAATAAAGCAAAAGAAATTGTAATCAAATAAAATTATAATAAGACATGCTGTTGAGATCTCCCATAGAGGGCGTTGTAGCACCCCTCACTGTGTGAAAAAAGTTTCGATTTGAGACAGAGTTGGCGTGGGTTTTGAGAATGTAGTGTGAAGAGCTGTGTAACGCGTATTTGCTATGTAACTGTACTATGTAATATAATGTAATTAAATGTATTTATTTAAAATGTGGAGCAATTTTGAAGGAGCACACTTCACATTTTTTTGGAGCCACCAGTGAGGAAGAGTCGGTCTTGGAAGCTGTGGATTCTCTAGTGGTTTAGTTGCAAGCTTTGTTTGGGAATTTGTGGAATTTTGCAGGAAGTGAAGGTAGGCTTTGTTTTCATGTTTTGTTTGAAATTTGAAGTGTTGTAAAATGTCGGAATTATCTAAGTTGAGAAAGGAGCGTAGCGCAGTTAGGTCTACGTTACTTAAGTTAATTAACAAAGTTGAAGCTTTTATTAAGGAAGTTTCTAACGAGATAGATGTTACGAATAAGGTAGATACTTTAAAGGAATTTAGAGCCCAAATAATAGATAAGGAAACTAATTTAAAACGATTAAACTATGAAGTGAAAAATCTTTGTAATTGTGATGATATAGAAGAGGAAATTACTGTGTCAGAGAAATATTCAGAAAAAATTATCCTCTGGAAACAAAAGATAACTAATGTAATAGATTAATGAAAGATGAAATGAATATTAGTAACGTATCCTTTTCTATTCCCGCAACTGCTCAAGGTACACTAGAAAACCAAACCTTTAGAGAAACCAAAACAGTTAAACTTCCTAAATTGATAATCAGTAAATATTATGGTGATCCTGCTTCTTGGTTAGAATTTTATAACCAGTTTGAAAGCGCTATTCATAATAACAGTAATCTTTACAAAGATAGATAAATTTAATTATTTAAGGTCATATTTAGGGGGGACGGCATCTAATTGTATAAGTGGTTTTGTGTTAACAGAAGAAAATTATGATGCTGCTTTAGATATATTAAAAGCTAGATTTGGTAATAAGAATACTCTTATACAGACACATTTGAATGAGTTACTTAAAATTCCTATTATTAGAAGTATAAATGATTTAGCTGGATTGAGAAGGTTGTTTGACAAAGCTGATACTCAAATTAGAAGTTTAGAGTCGTTAGGAGTTGAAACAAAATCTTTCAGCACTTTTATTGATTCCCATTTTGTTAGAAAGAATTCCAAGGGAACTCGTTTTAGAATTCAATAGAGCGTATCCAGATAGTGATTGGAATTTTAAGGATTTATTTACCTTTTTAGATAAAGAAATACGGTCTAGAGAAAGAACATATTTATTTAGTAGAAAAACTGAAAATTATCATAATTTTGGTAATGAATATAAAAGTAATTCTAGTAAATTTGAAAATAAATAGCTTAATACTAATAGAAATATATCAACTGCTAGTTATACTACAAATGTTAAAAGAAACTGCATATTTTGTAATAGCAAAGAACATGAATTTTGCGAATTTGAAAGTGTCGCGGAAAGGAAAAATAGATTACAAAAACATAATAGATGTTTTCGCTGTTTCTCAAAATTCCATGTAGCGCGATTCTGTAAAACTAAACTCGACCCATGCAAGAACTGCAACAGCTTAGCTCACCACTCTTTGCTATGCGAAAAAAGTAATAAATCAGCTGAAGTCGAAGGAGAAAAGAGAATTCAAACGCGGTGACTCATTGCAGCTCCTCTCAGCGGGGGTCAAATGGCTGTGCTTTACTGCAAACTTGTACTGTCTTGGCTTGTTCGAAAGGAAACTTTAAACTATGTCGGGTGTTAATGGATAACGGGAGTGAAAAACCATTCGAAAGGAAAGATTGTCAGTTTATGCTTTTGGGTTTACGAAAGCCATAAATAAAACTTACAGTGTAGTAAAATTAACATTGAGAAATAGGAACGATCCTAAGAAATATATTGAGATAGAAGCATTAGTTACTGAAATGATTACTGCCGCACCCATTGCATTTCCCAATATAAATATTCAAAATATTTTTGAGCAAAAGGATTTAAATTTAGCTGAGGCATGCATGGATTCAGATGAAGGTATTCACATTTTAATAGGAGCAGATTATTTTTGGGACGTCATTAAAGAGTCGAAAGTAGAAAAAATAACCAAAACGCTAAACTGCATACATATTATTTTTGGCCTTACACTCCAGGGCATACAAAATAATTCTAAGGATAAAATTTGGGGAAACATAGTATCAACAAATTTTTGCGTTGGCACTTATATGCAGATGCTATGGAATTTAGAATCGTTAGGAATTACAGATTCTAATAAGTTATCAATTGCAGATGAGAATTTGATAAAATAATTTGAAGATAATTTGAGGCTTGTAGATGGAAGATACGAAACTTATTTGTTATGGCGAACGAAGCCAACGGATTTAAAAAATAACTTTTGTCTTGCTAAAAAAAGACTTGAGGACTTAAAAAACAATTTCGAAAATAATGAGTGGTTGGCGAATGAATACAAGGACATAATTAAAGATCAACAGAGTAAAGGAATAATTGAAGAATGTTCTAGGGATGCGAAGGAATATTTCATGCCACATAGAGCAGTTGTGAGAACCGATAAGGATACTACTAAAGTTCGCGTGGTTTTCAATTGTAGTTCGAAAGCGAAACTAAATCTCTCTTTGAATAATGATTATTTAGAGACTGGGCCGAATTTGAATCCCAATGTACTGGATGTTATTTTAAATTTTAGGAAATTCAAAATTGCATTTTGTGCTGATATAGAGAAAGCATTTTTGATGATTGGAATTTCAGAAGAGGATAGGAAATTTTTTAAATTCTTGTGGTTATCAGAAAATGCAAATGAAGACTACAAAATAATGCGTATGACACGTTTGCCGTTTGTTTGTAAGTCATCGCCATTTATTTTAAGTTCAACAATAAAAAAGCATTTAAAGCAGTACAAGAATAATAAACCCGAATGTGTTGAAATGTTGAACTCTTCACTGTATGTAGATGATTTATATTTTGGGGGAAATAGTGTTGAAGAGGCATTTAAGCTGTCTTCTGAAGCTGTGTCGATTTTAAAGGATGAAAGTATGATTTTGCGAAAATTAAAAACTAATTCTGAGAAACTGAGGTCATTGTGGATGCAGAATGGACTTAGCGATGATACTTGTACTTCTGATTGTCAGTTGAAGGTTTTAGGCTTGAACTGGAACCCAGTAAATGATAAATGTTTCTTTAGATATAGCAAGATTGATGGATAGTTTAAAGAGTTTGAAGAGCACAAAGCGTTATGTCTTGCATGTTGCAAGCAATGATTTTTGATCCAATTGGTTTTGCAGCTCCATTTGTAGTTAGGATTAAGTGTTTGCTACAGGAAATTTGGGAACGTGGTATGGTGGTATTGGGATTGGGATGAGAAATTGCCAGATGACCTTAAAATCAAGTGGACTAGCTGGTGTTCTGAGGTTAAATATCTAAAGGATATTTCATTTCCGAGAAATTTATTTGTGTGTTGTGATAACTTAAATTCAAAAATGGAAATACACGTATTTTGCGATGCATCTCCTATAGCTTATGGTGCTGTAGCGTATTGTCGTTACTTAAATGATAAGGGTGAAATTTCCGTGTCGTTTGTCATGTCGAAAGGCAGAGTAGCTCCTTTGAAGAAATTGACGTTGCCACGATTGGAACTAATGGCAGCAGTCATAGGAGCTAGAATAGGAAAGTATCTGGGAGAGGGTTTTAAGGATCTTATTGATAAATTTATGTATTGGACTGATTCCTTAATTGTCTTGTTTTGGATAAAGGGTTCTGCGAAGCAATGGAAACAGTTTGTCGGTAATAGAGTGGTTGAAAGTGCAGGAAAAATCAGATCCCAGGTTTTGGAATCATTGCAGTGGAAGGGAAAATCTTGCTGATTTAGTTAGTAGGGGTGCCAGCTCAATGTTTGTTGGAAGGTGAACGTTGGTGGTGTGGTCCATATTGGCTAAAAAGAAAAGAAAAATTTTTTCCCTAAGCATCCACTGAAGGATATCCCACTGGAAGTAGTAGAAACTGAGAGAAAGGGATGCGTTGTGCATACTACTGGTGATTAAGAATTTTGTGATTGATGAACTGCTTCATAAATATTCTTCTTGGACAAAACTTTTACGAGTTATAGCTTGGTGTCTCAGATTTATTGCCAATGTGAAATGGTCATCAATAACAAGGACAAAATTAAATTTTCTCCAGACTGGAGAGCTAGCCGTAGCACATTCTTGGGTAATCAAGTCTGTGCAAATGCAGGAATTTAGTGAAGAAATCGATCATTTGAAAAAGAGAAAACTAGTGTGTCCCCGCAGTAAACTCAAGATGTTGAATCCATGCTTAGATGATGAGGGTATTCTAAGAGTGGGAGGAAGACTAAGAAATGCTAGCATCGCACAGAATGTAAAATATCCAGTCATTCTGGCTAAATCACACTATATTACAGAACTGATAATACGATATTATCACTATAAATATCTTCACGGAGGAGCACAAATGCTCCATTCAGAAATCAAGCAGAGATATTGGATTATCAATGCACAAGCAGCCATTCACAAGATCATTCGTAAATGTGTAACATGCTGTCGACACAGAAGTGAGCTGTCATATCCAGCAATGGGCGATCTTCCAGCATCCAGAGTGAATCCCGCAAGAGCCTTTTCGAAATGTGGTGTGGATTTTTCGAGTCCTTTCCAAGTTAAACCGACGAAAGGGCGCGGTGTTCGGACAGTGAAGATCGACGTTTGTGTTTTCGTATGTTTTAGTACTAAGGCAGTGCATTTAGAACAAGTTGGAGACATGACGACATATTCCTTTATAGCAGCTCTAAAACGGTTCATTGCTAGACTTGGAAGACCGGAGGAAATGTATAGTGATTGCGGCACTAATTTTATAGGTGCCAACAGACAACTAAAATCATATCGTTCGAACCAAAAGGTAGTTAGATACTTAATAGAGGAAGAAATTAAGTGGAATTTCAATCCGTCTTCTGCACCGCACTTTGGTGGACTATGGGAAGCCGCGGTAAAGGCTATGAAATATCACATGAGAAGAGCAATTGGTTCTCAAGTTCTAACTTTTGAAGAATTTGCTACTTATCTAGCAGAAGTCGAGGCGTGTCTGAACTCAAGACCATTAGTAGCGATTTCAAGTGATCCAGATGATTTTTCCGTGATTACACCGAGTCATTTTTTAATAGGAACATCATTAAAGGCTATTCCGGAACCAAATGTGTGCGACGAGACACTAACACTTCGCAATCGTTGGAAACTAGTTCAGCAAATGTCACAGTCCTTCTGGAGGAAATGGTCTAAGGACTATTTGACTCAACTGCAAGTTCGCACAAAATGGCATCGTGCTTCAGCAAATATTAAATTAAACGACTTAGTAATCATTAAGGAAGATAACACACCTTCCTTAAAATGGAAGCTGGGACGTATCACCGAAATTTACCCAGGTAATGATTACAAAGTGCGTGTTGTAAAAGTAAAAACTGCTGATGTTGAATTCAAGAGACCCATTCACAAACTGTGTGTGTTACCAATAGACAGTTAAGTATCGTGAAAAATTTTGAACTTTAACTTGATATTCATCTATATTCATTTGAATTCTTAAGTTTTAATGTTATTGTAGATATTTATGTTATTAATTTTGTGTAACTCATTGTTTATAGTTATATGTTAATTTAGGCTTAGTATTACTCATTTATAAGCAAGAACTATTTAATCTAGAAATTATATGTTTACTAAGAATAATGTTAAGTAATAATTTCATGTAAGAGATAGTTGGATGTCCTGAACGGTCATCCGTGGGGAGTATGTTGAGATCTCCCATAGAGGGCGTTGTAGCACCCCTCAACTGTGTGAAAAATGTTTCGATTTGAGACAGAGTTGGCGTGGGTTTTGAGAATGTAGTGTGAAGAGCTGTGTAACGCGTATTTGCTATGCAACTGTACTATGTAATATAATGTAATTAAATGTATTTATTTAAAATGTGGAGCAATTTTGAAGGAACATACTTCACACATGCAATAAGATAAAAATAAATATTTATGTAACGGAAAGAAAGAAATACTGAAAGGATTTAGATTTTAACGTCGCAACAGAGGGTTTGTTCAAGGTTTTTATGCTCTCACTGGACATCCCAGGTTACCATTCTGCTCGTGGACCTGCTAACACAACTATGTTTTTTTTTTCGTCTTTTTAGTTCTATTATTAAAAACTGCTTTCTTCGTACTTACACCACCTATAATTCAAAAGCAAACTCATAAAAATTTTAACAGCAGCATAGCAGTACAAGTTTAAAATTCTTGACACATTATTAAGTGTTGAAATACATTTTCCTATTTTTTTTTTCTGTCTTTTCTCAGTTCATCATGCCAATGTTCAGTTTTCATAGTTAAGATGGTTAACAAAAAATGCCTTTGTATTATTAATTTTTTATGTCTTAGCTTTATTTATGAAATACCACGTTCTTCGCATTTGCCACATAAAATTCATCAGCAAGTCCCCAAAATATTTAAAAAAGAATATTTTAAAATTCCAGATAGAGTGTTAAGAGTTACCATACATTTTTTTATATTCGTTACATAATTTCTTTAAAAAACTTGCCGCGTAAAAGAGTTTTGATAAAAAACAGTATACTTCTTTTAATGAGTTCAGCTAGTGTAATTTTATAAAATTATTTAATATTTCTGATTAAATATCTCTTGACTTTTATGCATTTTATTTAAATCAATATATTTAAAAGTGGAAAAATGTTTTTATTAATTGCGCGTATTGCTTTTACATCGCTACTTTGTTAAAATAGCTCTCTCTAAATCTCCCATTTGTTTCAATAATCTTCTAGATTACAAATCTAGAATTCTGAATTAGGCTTTACTGAATGGCAATATAGATAGGAGAGAAAAATACAAGTATTTTATTTCTGGCAGTGGGAGCACATTGCATTCAAATAGCCGAGTTTGCTGATTAAAACTGAACATCTTACATTTTGCCGAATGGCAACAGTCTGGTGCGCTGGAGATAAAAATGTTTTAGTTTGAACAGTATTGCTTTCAGCTCGCTGAGTTTGTTAAGTAAAAATTCGCTAAAACTAATCAAAATATACTAATCAAATAATCCAGTCGATATAGTATATTTGGCTACATTGCAAATACACCATTCGGCTTTTCGAAGCCCCACAGTGATAGTGATCCTTTGTGAATTCGCTTTGTTATCGATACAATGCACAGAGAAACCATATAGAGACTATATTCTATGCTTCACGAGTCAGTCATTAGAAACTGAAAGGTATTTACAGACATCCAGAAGCTTCATACTCATAATTAAGAGACGCACAGTCCCGATGTCCTGTTAGTTACGAGTTGGTTCGAGTTGTCCAATAAAGGAAATCACCAGAATTCAAATTATAGTCCTCTAAGTGAGCAAATTCTAAGAAGAACATAAACACATGTACATAGCGTATGTATACGTATTGACCAAAATCAAAATAATTTACTGCTCGAGTTTTATAATTAAAAATAATGTAATGAATTTGTTTTAAATAAGCGGCTAATGTTATTTAAGCAATCGATTTCACAATCATTTGCTTTCTATTAGAACTAGATAAAGGTTTTGTACCTAATTCTCTTTCTATATTTTGGTATGCTATAATTAATAGCCTTTAAAAATAAAATCAACGTAATGAGCATTAAAAAATTAAATAAACGTTTCATTTGTAAAATTTAAAAATATTGAAAAAAATGCCAGAGAAGGAATTTCATATTTTTGTAATACCCCAGTTAAAATTTATGATGATTTTCTAAAAATCAAAGTGAAATAATGCAGACTTGCTAAATTTAACAAATATTAAATAAAGAAAAGAAACATCCTGTTCAGGAACAGCTAAGATTTATTTTAATTGTTTTCATTTTTCTTTTGATGAAAACCTGTGATTATATACAAGTGTAAAATACATATTTTATATTTCCGCGGTTACAATACTACTGTGCAAAAGTACAGTAGTATTGTAACCGCGGAAAACTTTTGGGTATCATAGTTGAACAACAATATTCATTTTGACTGTTCTCTAATAAATTTAGTGGATTTTTTTTTGCATGACGTCTGTACGCATGGACAGAATAAAAGATTCTTTCAAAACGGATTGCAAAATGAATTTATCATCTGTTCAAAAGATATTTTTTGCGGCATCTATACATACGCACACATGTCATGAAAAAATCGTATATATATACCTCGCATAGCATAGAAACAATTAGCCGAAGGACGTTGAAATTTTGAATATGGGACTGCTATAACTTCTAATTATGTACCTCTCTTTTTTTATTACAATCCTAACGTGTATATGTATATATACCAACTCCTTAACCGACTTAAAATTCCTCAACCGGGCTTTATTTTCGCAGTTGTCAGTAATAGTCATATAATTCCAATACAGATGTGTTTTAAATGACGAAAAGTTTCCTGTTTGGGGAAAATCAAATTTTAAAATTAAATTAGTTTTCGAAAATATCGGAATCTAATGTATATCCTTTCCATCTGACCATCATTAAAATGTATATAATTTCGGAGGTATTCGCGTTTAAAACTTGATCCTAATTTCAAGCTGAAGAAAAAAAATATGGTGAACTTCTAATTTGTGTTAATCCAGACTTATTTTTTAATTTTTTTAAACGCTCTTTTCAATGAATGTATACGTGCTAAAATATTTCTTAACTTTAAAAGCTCCGGTTATTAATTCTGCAAATTTAATAAAAAAAGTTTTACAGTATTCAAAAATAACTATTCTTTTTAAAGCTCAGTATTTTAAAAATAATTAAAATGTTAGAAAAATATTTAAAGAATTTTCCAGAAAAGAACTGTCTTTAAAGTTTCAGCGATTTGCAAATAAAATTTGATTCCTTGATTGTCTGCCATATCAAAGATTTGGAACTTGAATTTATGTACAATTAAAAGGTGTTCAGGATGCATGATAAAATATCACTTCGAGTTTGCCATGCATAAAAAGTATATTTAAACTAAATCAGACTAACTATCACAGTTCATAGGGTTATGTTCGAAATTTTGGTGACTTAATCATTATCAATATAGCCTTTATTTATGTATATTATTCAAAATAATGTAAAATTTTATTTAACAAAAGGCGACAGGGATGAAAATGCGATTGTCTCACTGCTGTGAGACATCGTCTTCCAAAGACAACACCTTCTGAAAATGAGCAGTTTTTCAAAAAAAAAAAAAAAAAAAAAATTGCAAAGAAATTAACTCGTAATCTGAAAATTTCAGGTTGATAACTCGAAAGAGATTTACTCATTAAAATATTTTAAATTAAAAAATTAAATCATGCAAATACTTCGATTTCTTTCTCAAAGTAATATCGAATATTGTCCTCTCATAAAACTGGCCCACCAGCGGCCGAGCGGTAAAGTGGCTGAACTCTGGTAGTTCGGTCCCGAGGTTTGAATTCCGCGAACGGGCTGGCTGCATGGGCGTTTTCGTGGTTTTCCCCATGTGTAACGTGTATACGAGTCAGTTTCCCTTAGAAAGTCCTCCACGAAGGCATCCCTCCCCATAGGCAGATAGCCCTAGTGTACTTTGCCGTAATTAAATAAACCAAACCAAACCTCTCATAAAACTAAATTTTTATAGTTGATAAATAAAGTTATGTCAAAAGAAATTTTCAATTTTAAATGTACTCGTGTTTTTCCTGCATTCCTTTTTTGAGGGTAGATTAGTGTGAACAGAAGATTATCAAAATATTAGAAAATATGTATTATCGTTTCAAAGTATTAAAAAAAAGCAGGCAGAAAGAAGCTTTAATACATATGTTGCCAAAAGTTGTATTGTTATCTTTATATTTAACTTTAGGTGCAGATGACAGTAAATAAAAGCGTTACTATACGAATTTTTACGAAATTAAATAATTTTTATATAGGGAATTAGAAAAATTTTAATTAGCGTTTAGAAATAATTTGTTTAACAGTTGTTCTTCAAAATAGGGCCAATCTAGCGCTGGTCTTTTACTTAGTTTTTAAGTCATGTATATATTTTTTCATTGACGTTTTTAAGCTATATTTTAATTTTGCACATCAGAGTTATAAGGGTGAATTCATCATCAATATTTGGTAGAAAGGTAGGGAATAGGAAAAGAAGGAAATTTCTCATAGGAAAGTATTAAAGCATTGTCAGCAGACGAACGCATGGTGGTGTAGAGGGCGCTGTGTGTACACAACTTTCATACATAAGCACAGCTGTTTGATAACCGGCAACATTTCTCAAGGGACTTACTTGAGATATTTTTCTTCTTTTTCCTCCCTCTCCCTGCTCCCTCCATGGGATTCATCCAGGAACCTTTCAACACCATGCCCATTGTGGATTCCCTTCATACTGCGAATGCAGTAGAACCCCTGTATAAATACCTCTGTATCAACGTATCAACCGGCAACATTGCTCTTCGCAATAGCTCGGTCAATTATAGAGTCAAAGTCTAAGTGCGTAGCCAGTCGTCATTTGATTAGGCACATGGACCTTATAAGAAATAGACTAACCCAAATG